AAATTGTACCAAACAACATGAAGAAGACAAGGACGACGGAGATGAAGGCGAGCAACTGAAACGGAGGACGCTGGTGAAGCAGGAAACTCTTGGAAGCAAAGGCACAAGTGAACAAGTGATGGCCGAAGTCGAGGCCCCTATTTAAAGAAAAATGGACAGCCCAAATCGCACGGATCCAACGACTGACGAACAACCGCCTTTGCTACCCATCCACTGACCGACATGCGTGGCTTGCCTTGGGTAGACGAAACGACGCCTGGCGAACTAAAGCACCTCCTCACCATGACTCACTGGTCAGCCTAACCATGCTGACTTAGCAAAAGAGCGGTCCAGCTCACCCGCGTCTTATCCTCGTGGCCAACGTGACCTGTATCCAGCTCCGAAAACCGCTTCCTTCACGACCCACGACACCGCATAAAGAGACTCCCTCACAAAGCGACCAAGTCACCAGCTTGGGTACCCTTGCGCTTCCTCCTCGGCACCCTTAGCCAAAGCTGAGGCTTCACGAGATGCACCTAGCATTGACAAGACTAGGGGGCAACCTCCCTTTCGCCCACCTCACACCACGGAAAACTCGGAACCGAAGCCAAGGCCCCCCTCTGTAGGTGCAGCCAAGTCAAGGCCCTGCATGAGCCTCAACCATCCTCGCAGTTCAAAGGAAAGGCATACCGACGCCACCACAGGCCACGATGTGCATAGGTCCATCGATGCCTCCTGGTATGAGACAATGCACTCCCTTCGGCCGAAGCTGAGGCCCCTCCTATCTCGGACCCCCACCCCGGCCTCGGGAGTGGGGGGCAAATGATGTAGGCGCATCCGGCTGGGCCAATGGCGAGCCTACATGCGTCAGGTAGCAAAGCACAGAGCGGAACCAATCGGATCGCAGGCAAAGCCGATGTCAGCACCTCGCGCTGGACCAATCAAGGTGCATGCTAGATTGGGCTTGGCAGGCCTCGCGGACCCAATCACGCCCCTTCACTTGGCACTCCCAGATGATCGTGCCCTCAGTACGAACTGCATCCAGGCCATCCGAGGTCACCTTCACCCTGGCAACCTCAAGTATAAATAGGAGGCAACCCCCTCTAGGTAAAGGGAGGAATACTCCAGTTCTCTAGCTCACTCTTGAGATTACTTGCTCTCTTGTGACCTTGTTTGGGTGTTTGCACCTCAGACCTCATCTACCTCGTACTCTTTTACTAACTTGGCCATTGGAGTCATCGCCTCGGGTCTTCACCCGAGGCCTCTGACATTCTCCTTCTCTGTAGAACCGATACTGAGATCCTCATTCACCTCAGGTACCAGATACAGCGGATATCGGACCATGGACCACGGACTCCACTCCTTTGCCACGCTTATCCTTGGACTTCCAGTACCTCGGGTCTACTTGGACTTGGGGATGAATTGACAGTGTTGACCTCGTTCAATCCGAACATCAACAGGCACCAAGCAGGACACTTCAACCAATACCCGATGCCAATCAGGCGGTCACCATGGAAAAAGATACGATATTCCCTCAAACCTTGGTCAGAACAATCTAACCACTCGGTTAACCCGTAAAACCATGACACAATCACATCTAAGCCTTGTCCCAATTATATGAGACCCACTACATGAATCGTGTTATGTTATATTTATATAAATAGAAGTAAAAAATGACATACCGATTATATAATCAATGGCATCAGAGTTGACACCCAAATAGGAAAGAATGGAAGGAATCTTGATAAATAAAAGAATGATAATCTCACTTTGGGATGCAATGGAAGGCGCGTAAGAAGCGAAAGAACCGATATTACCTTCTAAGTTGCAAAGAAATTAAATCAGAGTTCGGATTTCCTGCCAATAAAATACATTCCAACACTCTATCAAGATGATCTGACACTGCACATCTCATAATGTAAGGTCTCACTTTTTATGGTGGGTCCCAATCTCATGGTGAGATTTGCGGTGTCGGATCATGTTCATAGAATGTTGGATCGTGTTTTGTTGGAAGGAGATCCTAACTCATTAAATCAATCTATTTCAGCAATGGCAGTTGTCTAACGTATATGGATCTCCTACCACATATCACTGCAGCCACAGTGAGAACATATCTGAAATCTGAATGTTACCATGTAGATGTTCCTAATGCACAGCTATAATGTTATCTGGGTGGATGTGGGTAGGAGATCCAGATTGGTTGTCAACACCATGATGATATAAGGTTTAAAATACGATACATATCAGCAGTCAGCAGATACACTCCTAATTTTCAAGGATTTTCAAATTCAGATTTATATATCCATATCCTCTCTTATATTGATTCCTCGTTAACAACTATATTTAAGTCATTAATTCAATTCCAAATTTTGCAGAGAAAAAGAATCAAATCCAAATTTGTTTCTTTAATTAATCCCCATTAAATCTCTCACAACTCACAATAAATCACACCACTAATTCATTCTCCTCTCATTAATTCCACTAAAATCCTCAAGTAACTTTATATCAAATACCCAATGAATCTTATAGTTGTCAAAAGATAAAAGAAAGGAGATTTGAATCCAGGCACCTAAGTTGAAAAATAAACCTACAACCTTGGCATGCTTCAACTACTTGTTATAATCAATTTAACATGAGTTCTAAAGTTTGACGTACATTTTCTTCTTAGTGCATGCCTATTATTAAATTCTAAAAGCAATTGGTTATTAAAATTAATAAATTTATAAATATTAATAATAATTATATTAACTTCCTAAGAATTAAGATATATTTGTACATCTTAGCTATTTTGTCATTCTTCAATATTTCCAAATTGTTTTGCCCTAATTAGGGATGGCATATTCTACCCTACCCTGTGGGTACCTATCCCAATGCAAAGTTCAAAATTTCAATACATATCTGACCATATCGACTGATATGTATTGTATCAGGACCTTCCCAATACGCCCCTACAGGTCTTTCGGGTCAGACCATAGTTCAAAGGGTAGACAGGTCTTAAATCGACCCCTCTAAACCATATTGAACAAAAAAAACTAAAAAAAAGGGATAAATGAGCCTCGATACAGGACGATATGCCCTACCCGCATATTAGGATTTTGGGACAGGGGTGGGTTTTGGAAATCCACAACCCATACAGGTACGAACAGGTAGGGTACAATATTAGACTCCCCTACATGCATATTGTTAAAAATCATATAAACTTTATGTATCACTGTATTAGATGTTGAATTTAATAATGTTTTGAATTTTATGTGAAATACAATTGATAGTTTTATGTGTTTCTTTCATGTCTTAATCAAATAATTGGAAATTTTGTGGTTTGTGTTATATTACTTATTTATTACTTACACATAACAAGAAATACTAAAAAACTAGATGTCAGTTCTAAACCCACTCCACCCTACCCTTAAATACAACAAGGATAGGGTTAAAGAGGGATTTGCATTTTTATATACAAGAGGATTTGGATTATCAAAGTCTGTCTGACCCATCACGAATTTTGGGACAGATAAGGATTAGAGGGTTTAGAGAAAATTGAGTCTAAAATTTACAACACCCTCCCTGTTGCCATCCCTAACCGTAATTCATACTTCATAAAAACTACTAAAGAATTTGTTTTCAAAATATCAAAACTATTAATGCATAAACCATCAGTGCATATGGTAATATACATATCAATTTTTTACCACATGATACCTTAAAATTTCAATAGTTTATTTTAACCGTTCATGATGTGACACATCTGCGATCAAATTATCCAATCAAATAAAAAATAAGATTATCAATTGATCAAAACTCTCGATAAATTAAATTTTGATAACTATTTGAGTTTTCATGCATATCCAAAATGTATCCAAATACTTCTCTTTAAAATTATTTTTCCAACACTCTTCACATTTCCAGTACTTTGATTCTCAGTACTAGTTACCTTCCATTTAAAACTGCGGATTTCAGTTCTTGCATAAACCATCAATTAGGAATTAAGAATGACAGAAAGAATGGAAGATTGTCCAATACCCAAAATCAGAAATACATACAAACTGCTAGGAAAAAAGGAAAAAGAAACAAATATCAAAATTTCCTTCATACAATTTCCTTTATTTCATCCGCATGAAAATTGGACAAAATTAAGAAACCTAGAAACGAATGGCATACGTATGAAGAGATCCGTTTCCCATCTAAAACCCTGAAGAATGACCTGATAGTAAAATATACATACATATATAAGAAAGAACCAACTTGGTATTCGAAACTCAACTTCTGAAGTTTTCCCGCTCATGTTGTGAGTGTATTCTCCATCTTGGGCTTCCCACGCTGTCCAACTAAATAAGGCCCACTCTTGTGTGACCGAATAGTTCCTTGCTTCACCTGTTGGGATAGCAAGCATGCCAATCATTTCCACTGAAGCTGAAACACTTCCCTCAAGCATTAAATTAAGAAAAAACAACTAACGTCATACCTTCCCTTTGTTAAAATGTTTGGTGGGTTTCCAACAAAGAATTCCATTGCAACCACAATGTCCTGGACCAGACTCATATCCCCTGTGGAGCAACATCATAATTGAGTATGAATGTATGACATGGAGTGACATGGAGTAGCAGCAGACAAAAGTTTCAGATTGGACAGATTGGTGAAAAATGATGTGAACAACTTTACTAGATTGGTGCAAATCAGCCCCACAATGTCTCCTGATGATGTCTCATCATTTCTAGTACTTATCGGGAGATGTTCCCAATACACAGCTGGGATGTGCTGTGGGACATTGTGGGGCGCCCCCTTGTGGGAGGCTGATGTGAACTCTTCTGGCTCCAAGAAGTCTTTTCAACAATGCAAAATTTTATTCCTATGAAAATCTATAACGTACACTGAGCAAAATTCAACTACCATTATCAAATGATCTGCCATTGCATCATGTGCATAATGCAGGTTCCAGCACAAAAAAGAAACCACAGAAGAAGAAACCAAGTTTCATGATGTTCTTCAAACCGTGGCCTAGGTGATTTATAAATTTTATATTCTTGAGCTTTTCAAAGTTACTTTCTTGTTTATTGGTATCTATGGAAAAGAGTAAAATGTCTCCAAGGATCATAGTATTTTATAGTAATATTAGAGAGATTTTAGAATTTTGAAAAGTAGAAGAAACCATCAAATAACTTTTCTCAGTTATAGAATCAATGGTAGAAAAGTTTGTTTTGAAGTTTCCTATAGGTGAGAGAGTAATAGTCTTTATTAAGTATTATCTCTAAAACTGCAATATTTGTTCTGTTTTTCTTTCCTATTCAGATGTGGTTTTTCTGAAGAAAGGTAAAATTTTATTATTAAATAATGAAATACATGCTGAACAAGTAGGCCACAACGGGCCCCGATACAGTCAGACACTAATCCGCTGCATAAAATGGATTTACACCTATGAACCCTTCTACACAAAAAAAAAGAACCCTTATACACAAATTCAGAACATAACATTAGCAGACAATATGAAACAGAGTGGAACCCCAGCAAATTCATTGTTATTTTCTGCCAATATTAGGGCAATAGTCAGAAAGCTTCTGCAAAGTCTATCACTTCCAACCTCTCAATCCTGGAAATTTCTACCAATACTTGGGATCCACACTACCTCCCTTTTGTCAAATTGAAAATACTAAGGCTCAGTTTGGAAGCTGTACAAATGCAAATATGTACAGCGTAAATACATACAAAATAATACAAAATATAAGGTTTTGCACTCTACATATTTGCATTTGTACTCCTTCCAAACTCGGCCTAAGCCACCTTTGCATCCTTGTTAGTTGCTATTACAACAATGTTCAGAAAGACTTCAGCTAGCACCCTACCATCAGACCAAGATTGTAAAACAATCCCTAAAATAACAATATCATGTATCATCATCTCAATCAATCCCATCCACATTGAGCAGCCAATGCTTCTGAATGGGCCCCCAGTACCCTACTTCCCTCTCCTATGCCACTTAGTCTCAATGAGTTGCCTCCACCAGTTATCCCTCTTCTCATTAAATAATCACAACCATTTACATAGGATAGTACTATTCAAGTCCTTCATTCTTCTTAGACCCAAGACTCCCAGTTCCATTGGGTGAAAACATTGTCCCTGCAAGTGTTACAACTATGGGAGGCAACAACTAGTCATTCTGCCCTCTATTCAATGCTATTTTTCTTCAACTGCCTTCTTTCGATCCACTTCAAAGTGCACTTGGATTTTCTCCAATCCATGGCTATTTTGCTTTGATTAACAATATAGAGAAAAATGGGAGATCAAATAAAATACTCTTGATTAAAGTAATTTTTCCACCTCACTTTCCATGATAACAACTTCCTTCTGAACCTTTCCACTACCAGATCCCATATTTATCAAGCATTGCATTTGACTCCCATTGAAACATCCAAATACTTGATTGGAAAATGATTGACCTCACAGCATCAGGCCTGAGGGCCAGGCCCATTTGAATTTTGGCAAATGATCAACCTGAGCTGACCCAAGTTGCAGTCTACTCACAGCCAAGTTCTCCACCTCTACAACTTGACCCACAGGAATGATTGAACTCTTTCTACAATTTACTCTCAAATCCAACACCACTTCAAACCAAGAAAGAACCCTTGAGGGTAGTACAGATAACTTTGAGAGGCCCCAGAAAAAGAGGGTGGCATCTGAAAACTAAAGAACCACCACTTTTTTTTCAAATCCCTCTCCCACCCTAAATCCATCAAAGAAACCTCCAACCAAAGATTTTCTAGTCATACCTATAAGAGCTTCCATAGCACATAATGAAGAGTAGTGGAGAGAGGTCGCCTTGTCAGATGTCTTTCAAGCTCTTGAGTAAAAAAAAAACAACTAAACTGAGTGGTTTGATTTGGTTACATACAAACATGTTCCTCTAGTTGCACCACCTTTCTCCAAAGTTCATTCTCATAAGCACATGTCTAAGAATTTCCAATCTAATAAAGGAAAGCCCTCAGACTAGGGGGCTTCGACTTCAAACATGTGGCACTCTCTTCTCAGGAGTCAAGAAAGAGGTCCAGAGAGTGGCCCTTTCCACTTTCAAATAGAGCCTCCTCATGTGTCTATCCACTCTAAGAAAAAGTGAGAGAAGTTAACTCTACTCTTATAAAAAGTGCTAAGAATTTCCAATCAAATAAACGAAAGCCCTCAGACTAGGGGGCTTCAACTTCAAACATGTGGCACTCTCTTCTCAAGAGTTAAGAAAGAGATCCAGAGAGTGGCCCTTTCCACTGTCAAATAGAGCCTCCTCATGTGTCTATCCACTCTCAGAAAAAGTGAGAGGAGTTAACTCTACTCTTATAAAAAGTGCTAAGAATTTCCAATCAAATAAAGCAAAGCCCACAGACTAGGGGGCTTCAACTTCAAACATGCGGCACTCTCTTCTCAAGAGTCAAGAAAGAGATCCAGAGAGTGGCCCTTTCCACTGTCAAACAGAGCCTCCTCATGTGTCTATCCACTCTCAGAAAAAGTGAGAAGAGTTAACTCTACTCTTATAAAAAGGGAAGGGTTCCCTATTTATAGATGTAGAGCAATGCATGCATACATGAAAAAGGGAATTCCAAAAACATTCCCTAGACAGTTAGGACAGATCCCTAGGTTGATCCAACAGGACAACAGGGACACAGATCACACTACCACTCCAAAGATGTAGGATCCATATTAACTTTTCTAATTCAGTTTCCTAATTCAAATAAAAGGCTCGTTATAAAGACTTTGGTGTGGGTCCCATTCTTCCTTTAAAATGTCCCAGAATTTTTTTGATTGTTTGTAATAACCCAGCACTCTTCCCCTTCAAGCTTTGCTGATCTCTTTCCACACATCATCCTCAAATGAAAGGGCTTTTCCAGCTCCACTTTCCACTCGGGCTCGGATCTGCTACCTACAAGTTGTTCCCAGATCCCTACACACAGGACATTACAGCTGTGCATTGGGAGTATCTCCCTTGTCATTCATGGGGAAATGTTCCCAATACACAGTGGTGGTGTTTTGCAGGTAAGGATGTGGGAACAGTTTGTGGGGTAGCAGACCTGTAGTGTTTCCACTCCTCCCCAATGTCCTTAAGCCAAACATCCTCCAACTTTGTTCTCTTACACTATTAACTGTATAGATTTTTGAAAAAATTCATGGCCAACTCAATTACACCATCCACATTCTCCAAGACCCTCTCATTGAATTTATTAATTGTGGTTATTCTACTTCACCCCTTGTTTTACTAAAACATCAGCGAAAGAATTAGCACTTCTTTGACCCAAAACACTTCTATTGGGAAGCTTCCCTTGGAAAGATAAATACCTGTGATGTGCTTCAAAGAAGGCCAAACAAGTGTCTGTCTCCTCACTTACTAATTTCTTGTCCCTCTGCAAATTGTGTTTGGACTTGCATTTCTTCTCTCTTTGGTTGCAGATGGAACCCCCCACAAGATTCCACTATGTTGTTCAGCCCAAGTTTCTTTAGACAAGCAAAAAAGAGAGGAAGACTAGTGTTGAAGACAGCCAGGGGCCCAGGGCAGCAACTATTTGGAGACTATGGGAAGAAAGAAATAAAAGATTGTTCAAAGAAAAATCCAGGAGTTTAGAAGACCCTTTTTTTATTAATAGGAGCTTAGAAGACATCGTAGAAGGCAAGACCAAAACAACAAATTGGGTAAAAACCTTGGAATCTTCCCATTTCGTAACAGTGGCTGATATTATTAGAGCTTGGCCTGAAGTAGCAAGTTCAGCTTCTGTGAATGACAAAGTAGTAATGGAATGAAAGCCTCCTCAATCTAACAGATTATAGTTTAACTTTGATGGAAGCTCTATAGGAAATTCAGGACAGTCAGGATTTGGAAGTGTGTTCAGGGATGATGCAGGAAAAGTGGCAACCTTGTTCTCAGGACTGACTGCAGTGGGGATTCTGTAGCAGAAATAACAGCCTTACATCAAGGTCTGAAATTAACAAGGCAGTGGAGGTTTAAGAATCAGGAAATAGAAGACGACTCCAAATTAGTAATTAATTGGATAGATGACAGCGGCCCAAGTATGTGGAAGTTCAGACATCTAATCAGAAAAATCAAGAGTTTGCAAAAGGACCTTGAAGCAAGATTCAAATGGTTTCGCAGATACTTTGGCAAAACAAGGGGTGCATAGTGATCAATTTTTTGGGGCAGATTTGGGTTAAATTGTACCTATGGATAAGTGGTTTTTCTTGTTTCTATTTTATTCTTAATTCTGTGGTATTCTATTTTATTCTTAATTCTATTTTATTCTTAGTCAGCCATGTAGTGAAAAACCTACTCGGAGGGAGAAGATTGACGTGGTAGAATTAGTCAGTTCTATTTCTCGATGGGGGCAGGGAAGGGATATAACTCAGCGGTAGAGTGTCACCTTGACRTGGTGGAAGTCATCAGTTCGAGCCTGATTATCCCTAAACCCAATGTGAGTTTTTCTTTTTTGACTTGCTCCCCCGCCGTGATCAAATGAGAATGGATAAGAGGCTTGTGGGATTGACGTGAGGGGGTAGGGATGGCTATATTTCTGGGAGCAAACTCCAGGCAAATATGAAGCGCATGGATACAAGTTATGCCTTGGAACTCCTTGGGGTGATCTCGTAGTTCCTACGGGGTGGACGATGGGGTCGGTCCATGGATTTTTCTTCCTTTTGCCRCATTTCGCTCAAAGGGTTGAAGGGAGATAGTGCATCAAGCTGTTCGCAAGGGCCAACTTGATCCTCTTCCCCARGGATCCCAAATGAGGGAACCCTAGGAGAGCCGCCGACTCCAACTACCGTCCATGTACGATCCATACTACCTCCTCTACATTCTTGACAACCCATCTTTGTCTCAGTAGAGTCTTTTAGTGGCATGTTTCGGTCCTCTTCCCCATTACTTAGAAAAAGTGAGCCACCGGTTGAGGAAAAAGATACTATCATTACCGCCTGGACAATTAGACATCCAACCCGTAATCGCAACGACCGAATTGCAAGAGCGACGCTCTACCAACTGAGCTATATCCCCCCGAGCCAAGTGGAGCATGCATGAAGGAGTCAGATGCTTCTTCTATTCTTTTCCCTGGCGCAGCTGGGCCATCCTGGACTTGAACCAGAGACCTCGCCCGTGAAGTAAATCATCGCACCTAT